CCCCCGGGGCGCTGTTCTCGGGGACCCTGTAACGCGGGGCATTGGTGAGGGGGTGTCCGGGGAGAGCCGGAACCCCTGGGCAGGACTGGGGTCGGAGAGCTGGGGTGAAGGGCGGCCTGGGTGTTGGGCAGAGGGGTCGGAAGCTCTCGGGGAGGGAGGCACCGATGAGAGTTCAGGGCAGTGGTTTTCGGAGGCACAGAAGCCTGTGAGCCTGAGGACTTGCCCTGAGGTCACCTGCACCCCGTGACAGCCCTGGGTGAGCAGCAGCGGGGAGGGTCCAGGGTGGGAGGAGGGCGGCACACATTTTCCACCCCGGCCCCAGCGCTTTGTTCCGAGGCTGGGTCACTGGAGAGGAATTTCAGTCGGAGCCTCCCAAGCGGCCTGTTTGTTTTGCAGCCTGCTGGGCTGCCCTCTGGGAGGGGGGGTCACGGGCTTCGTGCGTGTGCTTGGCGGGGAGGGATGGTGCCAGGGTGGGAGGCCTCAGCCGGGGCCAGGGGAGCCTCCGTGCTCCCCGCCCCCCTCGCCGTCTGCCCCTTGCTCCCGTGAGAGCCCTGCCTCTCTTCACTCCTGGAAGCGCGAGGTGGAAACCAGGAGAGGCAGTGGGAAGCGCAGGCGTGCTTCCAGGGGTCTGCGCCATGCGCCCTGCAAGCACGGGGCAGATGTGCCATTTGGTGGCAGTGACTGCGGGTGTCCACGGGGTGCCGGGGGTTCAGCAGGGACACTGCAGCCTGGGCCCCTGCCCTCCTGAGGTTCGCAGCCCAGGAAGGCAGACCCCTCTTACCCAGGGAATTAGCTGTGTTTACACTTAGAGAAGGCTGACACAGCAGGGTGGGGAGGGTCGGGGGCTGCAGTTTAAGGGCCACCACTGGCCCGGTGTTGCGTCTGCTTTTGCTGAGGGGAAGGAAGCTCGGGACTGGGGTGGATCAGAAGCTGCGGGCGGCTCTGCACCGGGGCCGTGTGATCCTGGGTGGCTACTCCCTCCTCCCCGCGGCTCTGCTTTCCCAGTAAAGGCCGCCAGCCAGCTGTTACTAGCGACCCTCCTGGCTCCAACTCATGCAGTCGTGAGGCGTCCGAAGGCTTTGGGCTTGGTGGGTGTTGGGAGGGCACTTCCGGTTTCTCTTGAACCGAGGGTGTTGACCCTGGCGTGAGCCAAAACCTTCCCTCCGCTCCCCCCACTGCCGGCTCCCCGGAGCGCCCGTCCGCTCCCTCTGCTCCAGGCGCCCCCAGACCC